GTTTCCTTTCTTTCCTGAGTCATTCCGGTGTCAAAACTGAGACTCGTAAAACGTGAGCACCAAAAAACGCCGGATTGCTAACGACAACAGACTTATTTCCTTGAAAATCAGTCGACACGGGGAGAAAAATTCAATAAAAATTACCGGAAAAAAACGTAAAAATTACGTTTCGAAATGTAATCCGCAAGCGAAGTAAAATTCAATAAAAAGTGCGAGTCGGAACTGAAATTGTACGAATCGCCACGTAAATTCTACGATTTGTTTCGTAAAAATTGATCCGCCGTTTCATGACTCACCGCTGTGGGGACAACAAGTCGTTCCGTCATTTTTCCCCAACGATTGAGAAATTTAACGGAACGGAATTTGTGAAAAAAGGCTGAAGACAATTGATTTTCTGACAACAGAAAACTTTATTTGATTCGATTGTTCGAAGGGTAATCGCGGGATATTTAGAAGCTGACAACGGGTGAGGCTAGAAAAAATTTCAGGAAAATCTTTTCAGTTTAAATCAACAGTTGTGAAAAGACGTTTGTTTGTTCATTCTCTAGATTCTTCTTTCGTATCACTGAAATATCGTCGCACGGATGCTGTTTAATTTTCCGATTTATCAAATTCTCTCTGTTTACTCTCAGATGAAATAAAGATGAGGCAAATCAGGTGAAAAGCCAAAGCGCAAGAGCGAGAAGGGGGTTTTCCCCTTTGTGTAACGTCAAAGGTTGTTCACTGTCAATTCCTCTTTATGAATTCCTCTGTTGGCTCGCAGCGGAAAATTTAAGGGCAAAGCTAATTAATTGTGCTGGGAATTTAGGGGCCAGAATTGAATGAGGTGTATTCAGCTACTGAGCTGAATTTGTATTTGCATAGAAATTGTGGAGGAAGACGAGTTAAATGTTCATTTGTCACCGAATTTGCAAATATCTCCGGCATAAATCTCAGTAGTTTTAAATAAAAATTGTGTGAGCTCCACGAAAATTATCAATCGATTCGATTATCCCCACCACCCCACGACTCCCCTCGATTTAAAAAATATCCACCCCGACCTGGTGATCTCTAATTCACTTGACCCATATCCGTGAATTTGAATCGGTTTTACCCTGTCGCCGTTAACCACCTGCAGCTGAGGGAGGGGATTGTATATGCGTCGCTGCGGTTGAACGCGCAGTGCGACGTTTTCCCGTAATTAAGTTATTCAAATTTATTGCCCCCCTTCCGCCGTTTTCAAAAATAAAATCCAACGACGAGCAATGCCGTTGATCACATCGACATCAAGTTGAGATTTTTTCCGGAATATTGATCCCGAGGAAATGAAAGAGATAGAAATCCAATTGTCACGTCAATCGCGTCCTTCGACAGAAGAAATCCGTCAATTGATTTTGTCGCGGTCTGTCGTGATTTTTCTCTCATCCACGTGGAGAAAAAAACGGGAGGAAAATTACCAAACAAGTCGAGTAATTGTGGAGCAGAATCCATTTCTAGATCTTTTTCCCTGGAAAAATACCCTAGCGGGACTGAAGGATAGGATTTTTTTTAGATTATAATTTCGCTCGGCGATTACCTTTCCAACTTTTCTCTCCGGACACTGAGGAAACAAGTATTTTTTGAGAAGTACTTCTTTACACGGAGAGAAAAATTCAACAAGTCGTTCCGTAATTTTTCCTCAACGATTGAGAAATGTTACGGAACGGAACGTAGAAATAACTCACCAGTTTCATAAAAATTGTTGAACGTCCAAGAATTTTTGATTTTGTAGGCACAATAAGTCGGCAAGTTTCTGTAAGATTTTACTTCTTCGGGAAAAATGACGTGACAATTTCGTACTTTGTTCGGTGATGAACCTGAAAATTCACTGAACGTTTCAGATTTCTTCTCTTCCGTTCCTATAAAAACTGCCGGGAAACGACTCCCCATTGCGGATTACGTGAATTGTTCCGGAATTTTTACTGACTATTTCTCTCCGGGTCTGCAGGACAAGTACAAAATTACTTGACGAAAGTTTTTATGTTCCCAGTGCAATATATTTCACTCTTAAAAATTTTCAACTCAAAAGTTTCTTGATATAAGTAATGACGTATTTCTAAAAAAACTTTATTTTTGTCATTGCGTGGGCGGAAAAGGTGAGATCCATGGAATGTAGGCGAGATAATTAATATATTGAGATGAAATACAAGGAATTAGAGTGTTCGATGAAGCGTTCACACGGGAGTAGAGAGTAAATGAGTGAGCATCGACGTGTAGCGACCCAGTTTCAGGGCTGTCTAATTAACAGGCACATCCACCCTGTCACACGCTTGAGTTTGTTTTATTCCTAGTCAACCGTGGAATCTATCCGCCTTCGGCATATCCATGACACTTTTTTTTCTACGATATCGTCATATTTTTCTTGTTTCGAGTTGAAGAGGTGCGTAGGAAAATTTCGAAAGTCATTTCTTCCAGAATCAGCGTAATAAACACTAGTTATTTATGAAGTATTTATATCTTTTCATTCAAATAATGCAAAATCTATCATCTTTCACTCGAGTCTTTTTCGAAATAAAAAAATTCTGGAATGTTTCCAGACAAAAATGCGATTTTTCCGGAATTTTCCAGGAAATCAAAGGATTCTCTTGAATTAAACATAAAAATAAATCAGGGAATTTTCCCGTGTTGTTAAATTTTCCAGATTAAATACGCAAGATGTGTTCATGTAAAAAAATGATGAAAAAAATTAAGTTCGTGTTATTCACGAAAAAAAGAAACTGAAAGGCATTGAAATTCATGAAAAAATATATAAATTGTTGATTGCAACAAATAGTAATATTTTTACTCCCCAGGATTTCAAGCCCCGAGAAATAATAGGAAAACTGAAAATACCACGGAATTTTATTTAGCTAATGGATTTATTGATGATACTGATCAGTTTATAGGGTACTCCACGTAAATGCACGTCCCAGGGGGTATTTCGTTGCTCTTATTCTTCAGCCAAGCTCTCATTCAATTACACTACTCCCCGTCGTCGACGTTTCTGTTCATTTATCGTTTATACCTACACTAAACGGATTTTCAAGTAGCTGTTTTCATCACAACATAAATTTTCGATCAATTTTCTCATGAATATTTTTTTTGCGCCTCTCAGTTTTCTGTGCAAAGTACCCAGAGAGAAGTGGTGGATCAAACTTACCTAGAAGATCGTGGCAAATTCTACTGTACGAAAGGCGATCGAGGAGCGAAATGTAATTCAATGAAAAAATACCTGTTTGTAATTGTAATATTTAAGGATATTGGGACATGCAGTAATTGCGCGATTTTGTTTTCCTAAATATCATTCCAATTCATAATAAAACCCCGAGATTTTCGTGCTGAAAATCACTTCGGGCACCTGAATAAATCCAATTAATAAGAAAGACCCCCATAACCCAAGAACTAGTTCACAAATAAAATAAACGAGTTATGCAAGAAATAATTAAAGTATAAATCCATTCATTTTTCAATTTCAATTTTCCTCGTCGTTGTCTCCAGCGATGAAAGAAAATTTTAATAATCCTGAGTTTATAAAATAATAACCCCTTCACTATTGTCGAATCCATAATTGCGGTGATTGAACTCAAAAATTGAATAAATCTATTCATTTTTCAATTTCAATGTCGCTCGTCTTTGTCTCCAGCGGTGGAAGAAAATTTTAATGATCCTTAATTTACGGAGTTACAACCCCTTCGCCAGTCTCAGGAATATAATTGCGGTGACTGAAAATTTCATGAACTATTCGCGTCGCAACACCTCAAATAGCTCGGAGTTTCTTGAAGCGTTTATTATTTCGAATAACTCGTTCCGAGGGACGGGGGCTCTGGGGAGCATGTCTTCCCCCGTAAAACACGATATTTTAATGGGCCATCTCGGTACATCCGGTGAATATTGTGAAAGTTCACACTGCGTCAGAACTTCCGCATTGTCGGATCGTTCGGAACCCAAATTACCCACAAATTTGAGCTTTTTAGTATTAAAGTTGGATGATGCGTCAGTTTTCTTTCCTTTCTGCTCCTCCCAACTCCTAATATATTCTTATTACTACATACTATCGGGGATGATGATAGTATGAAATCAAATCATTTTACAGGGAGAGAATAACTGTAGAAAAATTATCCAGAAGTAGTAGATTATGTCATAACCCCGATGGGTCGAGGTTCGTGAGTCGTGTGAGCGAAGAACGAAATCCTGAGGGGGCGCGGCCCCCGGCGGGGGGGCTCTGCCCCCCCTCACGGAAGAAAGCCAAATACTCAAAAGAAAAACATCGAGATCGATTTTTTGCCCCCAGACGCAAGAATAACCGATAAAATCACGATGTGTGATTTTTTAGGAAAAATAGTAGATTACGTCATCAGGCGATAAACGTATAATCTGACGAATGTGATTTTATAATACTTTTATCCCCGAATACTTGTATCACTGGGAAAAAAAATAATGAAAACAATTGACCTATATTGAAAAATCTTTCGAATTACTCCAAAACTGCTGAGACGATTTTGCTGGAATTTCGCTCCAGTCTTAACTCCTTAACAAACAAATTATTCAACAAATCGGAATTTAACTTCTGTCATTCGATAGAAGGATCATTGAAGTATTTTCAGTAAAAATTTCAAAATTATTGGGGGGAAATTTTATGAAGATATTAATGAAGAGAATTTAATGTCATAATTTTTAAATTGCAGAATGGACTATGCAGATGTCACCGATCAATCATTGACAGCCCCCTCAGGACCGGCACTGACAATCGCCCGTCCGTTCGGCTACCTGTTGAAATCAAAGAGACAAGTGTGGAAGGGCAAAAAATCACCGGCAGTTGATAATCTCGGTGGCCGGTGTGCCGCCAGTACGGCGATGCGACGATGAGCCCGGTGTGCAACAAGGGTCAGCTGGTAAAGCGCATCACCCGACACCAGCGTCGTCGTGTTGCCGTTGTCATTGACATTAGTCTCGACAGTTTGTCATTAATTAATTCGCCATTGCCACTGTCACTTGTCGGTGATAACAGGGTTGAGGACGAGCGTCTACTGGTGCGGCCAACAAACGGCTGGCCATGGACCTCGAAGAGACGAGAAACGGCACCGGTGATACCGAAGAGGAATACATCAATATCTACTTCATGGTTGGGGACAGGAGGGAGACGGCGAGCTTCCGACCTGATCACGTCACCAATAAGGAACTCAGGGGTGAGTTTTTTTACTTTGCTCATGGGGTGATAGGGGAAGCGCATTCGGAGAACGCGACTGTATTCGAAAATATTTTTTTCTTCAATTCAACACTTTATTCAACTGAAGAAAAAATCTTAGCGGCGTCCCGCGTGAAATTATGTTTTTCGTAATTGATAACCCAATGTAAAAAAATTTGGATAATGACGGGGAATTGTCAGAGGCATGAATGCTATTATCTAGCTTCGACTCTCATTTTTGTCCTCCTAAACGTACACTGTCCTCGGAAGAACTGCAACCTCACGCTCGAATCCATTAGGAGCACTCCAAAAAAATGAGAGAGAAATCTCGCAGTCATCGCTGACATATGCCCTTACGACGTCCGCACACAATACATCAAAATCAAGCCCTCCTGATGTAGGCGGGGGAGAATCATGACCCAATGATTCAATACCCCAATGTCTACCCGTAGTTTCTCAAATCGTTTGGAAATCACTCAGTCCAATGGAGGGAAAGGAATACATGAGGCCTTCGGATGATTGAGAGGGGAATCGATGCATCGGATGTTTATTTCATCGAAATAATTTAACAATTCTGGAATCGTCATCCCAAAAAGACTTTCAGAAGTCATCGGAAGATATTCTCGGCCGGAATTTATCAAGAAATTTTTATTTCTTTTATTCTATTTCATTTTTCACCAACAGAATGATTTTTAAATATTTAGCGTCAATCACAATTAGCTGTTCTATAAATCAGCAATCAGTTATAGAAAAATTCAGACCGCAACCTGCTAATATAGTTTTTTGGCTTTCCTGTAAAATCACATAAAATCGCATAAAATCATAAAAATTTTCTCCCAGGCCTCAACTCAATCCCCTTTCATACGTCTCTTTCATTTCCAATGGTCAACTGCTGACTCGCGTCTACATCTGGCCCCAGCGTGTACCTCCACTAAAGCTTTTCAGCCGTTCAACAGGGGTCACTTTTCTCTGAAAAAATTTTTATTGAATCCACGAGGGTACATGTTCCACTCGTCCCCTCTCTTTCAGCGTTTTTTCGCAACTTATTCAGCTTCTTCTCTCATCCACTTACTTTCGCCTCCGACATGCTGGGCGATGTGAGGTTGTCCTCTCCCTCTTCATGGCCCTCTGATGTGCGATAATCGGGTCACGAGGGTTTCGGAGATGAAAGCAGATTTTCTTTGCTTTTTTCAGCGGTTTTTTTTCATCTACTTTGTTTGAGTGCCGTGGAGAGAGGAAAACCAATGATTTTTTTATTGCTGGGGGAATTTATTGCGGGCTGATCTTGGATCTTCAATTTGTGCAAACAATCTGTTCTGCATAAATCATTAATAAAACACGAATTCGAATTATTTTTCAACAAATATTTTTTAGATAAAAACGATGAAAGGATGTAATATGATTTGATATATACCAATTTATTAGAATAATATATATTTTTTTCATAACATATATTAAACAATACGATAATGAGCAGTAATAATGATGATTAATAGTTAATTTATAATAATTTTCATAGAAGAAATTCTTCAAATTTTTCGTCTTAGGTCTGTATTCAATCATTTCGGTAATTAAATGTTCTGAATTCACTCAATTATGAACAGAAAAACAATTTCCCACTTGTTTCTCTTTAAAATCAACACCAATTTATTCTTGAAAAACGATTCCAGAGTAAAGAAAGACAAATAGTTGAGTTTTTCCGTCGCAAAACTCAAGTTTCATCATTTTGTCCCCATCTTTTGCAAGCACTCCTCCCTATTTACTTTAATTTTCCCCACAGTGTATCCTGTAATAACCCAATAACCGCACCTCAAGTGGTCACCCGGTTGAGTGCGTTATTGCAGCCCTTGTAGAAACACCGGAGGTCGTTCCATAATGGGCAATGTCAAGTGTTTTCTTTTTAATATGACTATCAGGTGGTAAACATGGGTCACCTCGGCGAGAGGTCGAGCAGTATTACAACGATATTTCATTAGAGCTACCCTCTATTATTGGCAGAACCATAAAAAACCACTGTACCCATGGGTTTTCTCGTTTCTCCAATCAGCCGATATTTCCAGTTGAAATTAATATCTGAAAGCATTAGAGACATTAAATATTACTTGGTGAGACCTTCATATGTGAAGCAGCAGACGTTTGCATTAATTTAAATGTTTTGTTCGATACTCATTATCAAATTCGAGAGATAAAACAATTTCAGGAGATTGTATAATATAAGGGATAAAATTATTTATTGTCATAATTGAATTGGCAATAATGGATTACTTACTCACTTAATTTTAAACACGGAAAAAAATATACTTGAATCAAGTAGGGGACGATGGGGTAAAAATCGACACTTTTTACTTTTTTTCAAATGCTAATGCCTTATGGAATTCTTAATGGAACTGTATCATTTTTTTTCAATAGAAAGGGCAATTCTTCCCCCTTGTGATGAGCCTAGAAGCTCAATTGATAAATATATTTATCAGTTATGAATATTTTTAAAAAAAGTGAAAAGTGTCCATTTTACCCCACCTTCCCCTATATTTTTTCAAGTATATCTTTCGGAGAAATGAACAACAACTTAATAACCACATTAGGAAGGAAAAAATAGAAGCGAGTAGTTGAAATTTCGGAGAACAATATTGGTCCCACAATTGCCATGTCGATCGATAATCAAGTAATGAAACACTGAGAAAAATTATCTAAAATGCGGATACCGGATATCTCCGAATACTTTAAGTTCATATTCTTCTCCACATTGCCATGGTGACGCAACAATTGCCGCCCTCAGGCATGTACGGTCAGAGTCAGGTATGGAAGTGGGTGTCGCTGCCCTGTACGTCTGTGTGAACGAATCCCTCGGAATCGATGGACGTGGCGCGCAGCGTTAATATTCTCAACTCACCCCGAAAGATTCCATTAGAGCGACTCTACGGGTTGTTGACCCCTCCCTATCAGTGATAGACATATCAATCACTCACAATTACCGTTAAATTGTGAAGCTGTCAATTTTTAACATAAATCTTAACATAAATCATAGTATTATCAATTTTTTTTTCAGCATTAATCGAAAAACTTAGCTAATAATAAATATAGTTAAACTTTGAACAATATAGCGAGATAATCCTTTTTAATATTGCCAAGATCTAATATTATTGCTATTCCTGGTACGCATTCGCATTGGGACGACAAATTACATTAAATTACATTAAATGAAAAAAAATTTTGTCTGAATTTTCCGTGCCAATTTCCGCAAATTTTTATCGTGTTCCAATTCGACGGAAATTTCAAGAAATCTGGTCATTGAAAATTCAGAATCTCGTGGAAAAATCGAATAGAACTGTTCACTTCCGTTCCGTTTTTCCCTGATAATGACTAGAAAACCAGAAGATTCTGGAATTTCACTGATTTTCAGTGAAACCTGAAATTTTATTTTTTTTCTAACAGTATAGTAATTTATAATTTTATATTCTCTCCGTGTACGCCTCGATTTTACCGCCAAAAATAGAATGTATTCCGTACTTTTCTGAGTATTATTATTCATTCAGTGATTTATTATTTTATATTCTCTCCGTGTACGCCTCGATTTTAGCGCAAAAACCAGAATGTATTCCGTACTTTTCTGAATATTATTTTTTTCAGTCTGCGCTTGAGGGAAGATTCAGAGTGATGGCTTTCACGTATCGATCCCATTGTATCGCAAAATACCCGCGTTCCCTCCATTTTCCCTCTTTTTCCAAGCGCCGGTCGCTATGAATATGCACATCCTGTAATTCCCCGGCTGTATGTACCTAAAGTCCCTCCGGCAATTTCGAAATTCGGCGGGACTGTATGCGATGGGAATCGGCAGTGCGACGTAGAGTGGCTTTTGGCCCTCAATTTCCCGTTTTTTACCATCATCCAGCGTTCCCTCCAACCCGAGTCAAGGTATCGCCTGATATTCTCGGTCCCAGTGGTCCTGTTTTGGCTGTTGTTTCTTGGTTTATTCACAGGCGCATCATAAAGTTCGGACGAACTATTCCCCAGCGGCATTGCAGTCCTTTTTCACTCAATGAACTTCAGAATAAAACGAAACAGTTGTGAATAACGGGAACGATTAATTGAATAAACTACAAAATGAGTGATGTGGAGAAGTTTAACCAGAAAATGTCAGAAAAACTTTCTGTAGCGGATTAAATTTCCGGGGAAAAGAGTTTGCGTGCGGTTGAAAAGTTTTATTTGAATTTTCTGGGTAAAATCTGCGGAGTTGTTAGCAAGTGACATTTCCAATAAAATTGTAGGACGTTGCGTCATGGAGAAATTCCATATTCCATTAATTTTCCAATTTAATGAGAATATTAATGAGAGTTAATAATTTTAGTTCAATTTCCCGTGGAAATTTCGGAGAAATTCGGCCTTAAGAATTCAGAATTTGATGGAAGAATTAAAATTTTTAGCTGAAATTGACAATAAATTTCTGTGAAATCGTTGAGAAATTACAGTTCCACTGAGATTTCACGAAATTTTGAGTCATGTGGAGAAGTTTAACCAGAAAATGTCAGAAAAAACTGAAGAGTTGTTAACAAGTGAAATTTCCAATACAAATTTTAGGAAGTTGCGTCATGGTGATGCAAATAAAAGCAAACAGACTAAATAAATTGCTGAGCATTTATTTTTACCCGAGAAAAGATAGAAAACAATGAGCCGATGTGGGCGACCAATAATTGGTCATCAGCAGTGCCGGGATCGAGTTATTATTGGTACGAAATTGCAGATGTCGTCGGGTAAACAAGAGCAAAAATAAACCTTCATTGCAGCGAGTTGAGACTCCCAGCCCTCGGGGATTAGAGCCCTCCACTATTTTCCCTTAAAAAGCCACAATAAAAAAATCGAAAAAAAGTGTACAGCAAAAAAAACTGGATGACACTTTTATTCTGTCCCTCCGTTTTTTCCACTGCGTTTTTTCCACTGCGGTTGTGCATAATCCAAAAATAAAAAAAAAACGGCACCGGCAAGACTGCACCGCGGCGGAAAAAA